CCCCTGCCAAAGAAAAGCCCTGCCTTCCAGTGCTCCACCCCAGTATGTTCAGCTAACCTGGCACACGTCCCAGGCACAACCCCCAACTTGATGACTCAGAGCTTTCCCCAATATCACCTTTCCTTAGGGCAAAGTATGAGAGTAGGGAAGATGTGTGGGTCGGTGGTCATATCCACTTCAAAGCCTCGCCTCTCCCTCTTCTTGATTATCTCTGAGGATGGGCTGCTCACTCCCTCCGTCACTCACATACTCATACTGGCTCACATCCACACATCCCCTCTCTATCCCAAACACACACTAACTGCCTGCATACACACTCTTTCCCTGTCCCTGTAGCTGCAATCTGGGAGAGTAACTGTGGAGCAATTCCATGTGTGGACTTGGGGGCAGGGCGCTCAGTGAATGGGGCCTTGCAAGGTGAAGAGCAGCCGGCCAGGACTGGCTTGTTTCTACTTGTCTGGGTCTGGGCTGGTGATAAAGCTGCTGGGGGTGGGATGGAGGAGAACAGGCCCCTCTCCACCAGGAGCCAAACATCTGGGTGTAAGAATCTGGTGGTGGCTGGAGGTGATGGGGGAGGGGAGAAGGGACCCCACCCAATTTTCTCCAGAGGCCAGTGCAAGGGGGTACAGAGTGGCCCAGGGCCCCAGCTGCCCACCCTAGAAAGATGGGAGAGTGGAGGGAGGGCTCTGGTCAGTCTTCCTGAGGATGGGGTAGGAGCAGGGGCCGGAGGTGCTCACCATGATTTAGATGCCTGGGGCCCCCGCCCTCTGAGACAGATCCCCAGTGAGGAGCGTCCACCTAGGTCATGAGCCAGTCCTGTTTCACCTGGATGGAAGCAGCCCCAGGTCAGTGCAGCAAAGGACCTTGCCCAGCACCTCTGGGGATCCTTGTCTGGGTCAAACTGAACATTTGCAGCACCTCACCTGACACCTGGTCAGACATCACCCAGTCTGATCTTGCACTCTGTAGGAGAGGAAACAGGCACAGAGTGGGATCAGCCTTGCTTGGGCCGCACGGCCAGTCCATGCAGGGTGGGCATCAGAGCCAGGCCTGCAAGTTCCAGGGTTTGTGCACTTTATCCTCCTGGCTAGTTCCTGCTGGACCCTCCCAGCCTCCCTCTTCCCCTCCCTCCAGACCTCCTCAGTCAGCTGCCACCTGCTGACTGGTGCCTCTTCCCTGCCCCTCCTGCCTCCACCCCACAGGCCCCCTGTGCAGCATCCTGGTGGGACGCTTTGGCTGCCGAGTGACAGTGATGTTGGGGGGCGTTCTGGCTTGCCTGGGCATGGTGGCCAGCTCCTTCTGCCGCACCCTCAGCCAGCTCTATCTCGCAGCAGGATTCATCACAGGTGAGAATTACTGGGCACTTACTAAAAAGTGCCAGGCATGAATGAACAGGACAGGCAAAGCTCCTAGTCTTCTGGGGCTGCTTACGTGAGAGAGCATGTGAGGGAGAGGGACAATGAACAGATAAATAAGGATCATTTCTGATCGTGACAAGCCCATGAGAAGGCAGGAGAGTTCATGTAATAGTGTGCTGGCTGGGGGTGGTGATGGGCAGAGATTAAAGAAATAAAAAGGTAGATATCTAGAACACCCAAGGCAAAAAATAAAGCAGAGTTGGGAGAGGTTACTGCTTGCAGGAGGGCAATCAGAGAAGGCCTTGCAGAAAAGGTGATGTTTGGGCAGGGAGCTAATGGAGGTGAGGGAGTCTGGAGAAGAGCATTCCAGGCAGGGGGCACAGCGAGTGTAAAGGCCCTGAGGTGTCCAGGAGCAGTAAGGCGGCCAGTAAGGTAGAGGAGCATGAACAGGGGCCAGTGGGTGGGGTGGGGGCTGGATGGGGGTTCAGTTGTAGCCAGATGGGAAGCCATTTGAGGGGTTCAGGCGGCTGGTGAGTGACATCATCTGACCACTATTTTTTTTTAAAGATTTTTATTGGGGAATTGGGGGATGGGAACAGCGCTGGGGAATTGGGGGAAGGGGAACAGACAAGTNCATCGCGCCACTCGGCCGGCCCTGAACTTTGCTCTTAATGTAGTATTTCAAAAGTCTGTTTGTGCGCAGGAAGCCTGGTTGTGAAAGTTTGAAAATGTATCTGTGTGTGCCTGTGGGGACATTGGGACTTCACTGGCTCTGGGGACCTGCTTCATTCTATAAGCAATTACAGAGTGCTTGCTGTGTGCGGGGCCCAAGGCTGGTCCAGGAAGTGCGATGTACTGACCACCGAGTGACACTAGGCTAGAAGGAATTCCACCCACCTGCCTTGTCCCCCTGATCACTCACCTGCCTGCTCCTCCTGCTAGGCTGGCTCTGAGAAGTGGGCGAAAGGAGATGTGAAGGCCAATGCCTGGGCCTCTGGGTACCTCCCAGGGGGTGGTGCTCCTCTGATACTTGGTAGCTGGGGCAAGAGGAAGGGATGGTTTCAGCCGCCCAGGAAAGGTGGCATGTGGGCTGGTGGAGGTTCCAGCAGCTCCATTCTATCCCCTCCCCAGGCAGCCCAGGCAGTGGTAGCAGTGGAGGTGAGGCCTGAGGCCGTGGCAGCAGCGTTCCTCGCAGAGAATGCCCCAGGCCCTGGAGCGTGCAGAGGGCGGCTGGGCCTGGGTGGTCCTGCTGGCCTCCATGATTACCCAGGGCCTCACCCTGGGCTTCCCCACATGCATTGGCATCTTCTTCACCGAGCTACAGCATGAGTTCCAGGCCAGCAACAGTGAGACCTCCTGGTTCCCCTCCATTCTGACGGCCATGCTCCACGCAGGGGGTAAGCAGCCTGAGGAGGGGTTCAGGGAGGGATAAGAAAAAGCCTGGAGTGGGGGAGGAAGCCACAACCTTCCTGGCCTGCTGGGTCCCTTTCTCAAAGGCTAAAAGGCTAAGATTTCACCTGATTTCTGCAGGGCCTGCCCCCGCTGGCTGGAATCCCACGAGGCTGGGCTGGGCTGGGCTGGGCTGGGCTGGGGAGGAGTAAAAGCTGGGAGATGGGGAGGTACCTAAGATGCAGCCAGTCGTCCAGTGGCTACTGAAGGATACATCCCGACTCTAGGAGTGTCATGCTCAGCAGAGACTGGAGGAGGAGGGGCATGGGGTCCAGCTGGGTGATCACGCTGAACCTCAGTTTCTTCCCTTACAATATGAGGGTAACACCCAACATCCTGCCCACCTCCCACATGGGATCGTAGGACACTGGGCAAGTGCTGAAAGCTAGGGACATGTCTGTGAGTTATTAGTATTCTGGAGACCATCAGGGGCTTCAGGACAGGAAAGGGGGCTTGAGGAAGACCCGGGGCGAGATGGAGGCAGGGCAAGAGCCCCATCTCTCACCAAGAAGCAGCGGGGATTTCCAGGGCTGTGGAGATGGAGGGAAGGCAGCCGCCCTCATTTCCTGGTTGGCTGCTCCAGAAATGTGACCACTTTTCCCTGACCCCAGCAATAGGTGAAGGTCAGAAGCTG